CGAGCCCAGTCTGCCTCGTGTGTCTGAATATGTTATCTCACAGCGTGAAGTCTATTGTTTGCAGAGAGACTTTTGAATGACTGTAGTTTAGGTTTATATGCTACACTACAGCCACCCAGTGGTGAGACAGAGGAATTACTCATTCCCACTGGCCTCCTTACAAGCAGTACAAGCAGTGTCACAAACTCCTCGATGACAGAGGACGTCATTAAAAGGATTTTATTTCATTTTATTTTAGTTTTTTATGTGAACTTTGGACATTTCATACTTAATTAGAACCACTCTCAGTGAAAACACTCACAAATAACTGCACAAACACACTCAACACATTTTCGGAAGTCATAAACACAACCTCATTCTTGCATACACTCACACACACACACACACACAAGCCATAGTGGGCAGTGCGGACCCCACTGCCATCCATTACAGACTGAGCTCCACTAATAGGCGACTCCAGTGGCAGGCTAATTCAAGAGACTGATTAGCATAAGTGAGCTATGGCGTTCATTAGCCTTATCAAGGATTCATAACTCTGATCAAAATGGGATTCTCTGCACGCTGTCCCACACAGGCGCCAAAGTCAATTAAACGGAATGTGTTTCCTCTCGGCTGGTACTGTGACACACGTGTAAACACTCACATGTAGCACAGCTGTATTCTGGGGTTATACTTTATGCAATTGAGGGCAATGTCGCAGAGGAACATTTGAAGAGAGGGATTGTAATGTTGGCCTATCGCTCTGCTAAAGAAAAAAATGCAGCCGGTGTAGGTACCAGATGTGCTCGGGTGGTCCCATCTGCTCGGGGTCCTTCCCCTGCATTTGTATGATGATGTAGCACATTGTGATTGGCTGTACATCAGAGAGTAGAAGAGAGAGCCCAATGTCTCCTCGTGAAAGATGAAGAACACAAACACACAGCGTCCAAACTGCCTCAAATGTTACACGTTCCATGTCTGAACATATTTACATGCCAATATTCAATGTTTGAAATGACGCCACCTACTGGTAACAGGCAGTAAGCCTCGTGTAACTTGTTTTACTCCTTTGACATCAAATGTGCTCTAACATCTTGTGTCCAAAACACACAACAGTTTACAACAGTTTTGACCACTCTTGTGTTTTGTGGTAAAAAAAAAATCTCCATAAATGTATAGCATTGATCCATATTCCTCATCCGAAGACCAACAAAAACTACATTTGTAAATTCAGTGTGCTATATCATCATACAAGCGTACAGTCAATTACGTTGTGTAACGTCACTAGCAGATGTAACCATCAGACCAGCATGGTGGGCGAGTGTGTTGGTTTATTAGGAAGTTATATATAAAATTAAGCATAGCATGCTAAAAGAAACTTAAATACGTTTGTAATGCACAAAGTTGTGAGAAAATAAGGAGGCTGGCAGTTTCAGTAAAAACAAGGCTCATGCCCTCTTTTTGTTTGGAAAGATATATTTTTGTTGACTTCATTTTCAGCTCGTGGGCCTAAAAACTAATTTAATCACTACACCAATGAGGCACTAATTAATATTTGTATATTAACAGTGGGAAATGACTATGTGTGATATGAAGGCGTCACTGGAAGGGATGAATATACAGAGAATTAGCAAACAGCTCTGCAGCTTCCCTTTAGCTCCACTCAGCATTTCAGCATCTTATAGTTCATTGCTTTGCTTTCACAGCCAGCAACTTCACCACCTTTGGTTCCACTACTACCAGCTGTATTAAGCGAAAAAATCTCAGATCAGCTTCTTACCCAGGACCAAAGTGTGAAAGTATTTCATGTATTGTACAGACAGGAACATGTAGCAGCTAGATATAGGAGTTGACCAAACTGAAGATAATGAAGAATGAATGTTGGACTCAAAGGGATGTTGTTGGCTATAAAAACTCAAAATTTAGCGAGTGTTTTTTTTTCTTCAATTTCCAGTCAAAAATGTAATTTCAAGCCACATCTCCTGGAGTTTGGTGTGAATGTGAAGGTGGCTGGTTGTCTGTCTCTATCTGTCCTCTGGTGGACTAGCAACCAATTCAGGGAGTACCCTGCCTCTCGCCCATTGTCAGCTGGGATAGGCTCCACAGTCCATTTGCTTTTAAAGCTACAAAAACATAAACAGCCTGTTCTGAGCAGGGCTGAAAGAGAGGGGTTTATAGGTGTGATCAAATACAGGTTCAAAGTGGATTTCTAACAAGAAACTACACAGACATGAGCTCTGAGACGTGCTCAAATGCTCCCAAGTGATTGAAAAATCTGATTCTTTTTGGGCCCGTGTCACTGATGTGCTTACACAAATAGAGGACTTGGATGACTTTTTTGGAACATTTTTAAAATCATATCAAAAGACATGTTGTCATAGGATTAATATTTCATAGCTAGTTAACTGACCCTGGTGTTAACAATGGTGCAGTTCCTCTTTAACAAAGATTGAACCAGACAACTAGAACAACTTTTCACTTCATTTAAGCTTCATGAAAGAGCGGGCACCTGACACTGACTGCGCCAGGCTAGATACTGTAAAAGAAAGGTGAGGCAGAAGGCGTCTTGGTCCCCTCTTGTGTTTTAGGATTAGGTTTCTCAAAAGTTCACACCATTAAATGAGTTTAAAGCAATCATTTAACCAGCTGAGGTGATTTTTGCCTGGGCAATCAATTTCTGGATGAAGTTGCTAGCCATGCGATGCTGCTGTGGCCATCCTGAGTCAGTGTAATGCTGAGTGGGATTTAGAGTGTGTGTGTGTGTGTGTGTGTGTGTGTGTGTGAGTGGGTGTGTGTAGGTATATTGACACTGGGGTGTCTGGTTGAGTAATGGGGGCGTAGCAGAGTTTAGATGGCTTCTATCCTCCTTCCTATCCAATGCTGGAGAAGGTCATCACTCATACAGGCAGAGGGAGACAGAGCCAGAGAGAGAGAGAGAGGAAAGCAAGCGACAGGGCTCATCCAGGCAGGAAAGAGAGAGTGCAAACAGGGTGTGTGTGTGTGTGTGTGTGTGTGTGTGTGTGTGTGTGTGTGTGTGTCTACACAAGCATGAATGAGAAGAGAACAGAGAGATAGTACTAGGAGGGACAAAGCAACAGAAGGAGGATGTGAGATGATTGGTTTGGACAGAGGTGGAGAGTGTGTGTGTGTGTGTGTGTGTGTGTGCGTGTGTGTGCGTGTGTCCACCATTTAAGACAGATGCTATCATCATGGCCTTAACTTAATATGGATATTATTGTTAATGAAATGTATATGCTGACCTGTTTCCCTGTACGTAAAATAATGTAGTAAAATGTTGTAGCTGTTCGCTGCCCGTCTCACCCAGTGCAGAGCTCTGAAGCCTCATGAATCACAACAAACAGTCTAATCTCTGAATCATCACTACTTCAAAGCCTGGCTTGTCAAGAACAAACAAGTGAGACAATAAATAAGTCCCAAACGGGTTGGAGTTGGTAGAAGGATCATCAGAAATTCTCACATTGAGGTTTGTACACGTTTTGGATTTTTGCCATTCCTCTTGTTTAGCTTTATTTGTCAGGCTTCATTCATGTTGTCGAGGGAGAATCCAGCATCAGAAACTGACTGGTAAACATCTCGCTTTCATGTACTATTTTGTTCAGAAACTCAAACCCGGAGGATAAAAGATAAACAACTACAGGCTTTGCAGCTTTTCGATGTCTTGTTTTTTTTAGTTTGTTCAGGTTTAGTGGAGGAAGCAGACGGGCTCTCATGGGCTCTCTAAAGAGACAAAAAAGAAAATCAACCTTAAATGGTTTCACATTTCCTGTTTCTTCATCTTTAATGAGTCTGTGACATTTTATTTCTGTATTTCATTTTATACAATTTAGAACAGCCGTTAGAGTTGGATCTATTTTAATAATTTGAGTCATAAGTAAAAGATAAGAAAATGAGCAATGTGATTCAAAGATAAATGACATACAAGGGACTTAGTTTTCTGCCTTGTTGGATAACTCATTATCTAAACTATTCCCAATTTGTAAAGGAATAAATATATTAGTAATAATACATTTCATTTAACGACGCCTTTCAAGAACTCAAGGTCCCATTACGAAGCAGAGATTAAAAAAAATTAAAAAAAGTAAAAATACATCGATAAAATTAAAAAGATTAATTTAAAGATTATAAAATCATTGTGAAGAGGATTTTTGAGACAGGATGGAAAATGATCAGACTGAATACGCCAGTTTGAAAAGTTGTGTTTTGAGATGAGATTTAAGAAATGGAGAGAGTCGATGTTACGGATGTCAGGTTTGGAGCGGCTGAAGGCTCTGGACCACACGGTGAACAGGCGGGCGGGTGGTGCAGTAAGTTGAATGGAAGAAAAAGACCCAAGAGTGCAGGTGGGTGTGTTGATGTGCGCACCCACAGGAGGAATAGCTCAACATTTAAGGTAAGATTTCTCTATTTCTTTCATGGCTTTTTCTTTTTTCACAGTCACAGTTCTCACCCTCTCAATCACTTCACTGTTGCACTGATGTACTGAACATACACTCTTTGAAACTATTAAAATGCTTGAAGAAATGAGCTCATGGCCTGTAATTTAGAAGCAACAGTCTTTTAGCTAATCTGAACCCACGGGGACAAATGGTATGTAATTATTAATTAATGTAATAATGGACAGACATGAAAGTGGTTTTGATCTTTTCAGGTGAGTCTTAGCACACAGAAAGTGCAAGAAATCTTGAGCCATTATTATGAATCAACATATACCTTTTTGTCAACTTGACTATAATGGTTAAAAGTACAGCAACAAGTCAAATAAGGGGCACTGGTGGTCTAGTGGTTAGGTCGCGCCCCATGAATGGAGGCTATAGTCCTCCAAGCAGGCAGCCCAGAATCAAGTCCAACATGTGGCTCCTTCCCCTCCCACACTCTCTCTCCCGACATCCCGCTACATCCATCCTGTCTGAATCCAGACAAAAAGCTTGAAAATAAATCAAATACATTTGAGGCTTAATGCCTTGTCAAACCTTGAAATGAATCCATAAACACAGTTTATATAATTAAAATATAATTTATTTGTGACATAATTTAATAATTCATGAACAGAAAATGCCCAGAAACACTTCTGTGTCAGTTTTCTCTGTGGCATGTCAGACTGAGGGTCTGGCAATATCCTGATATTTTGAAATCTCAGAATCCAGATTTACATTCACAGAAGTCAAAGATGAAAAAAAAAAAGTAAGATTATCTCATGGTTGAAAGACAGGGCTGTCCTCTGTGTTAAGACGAGCTGTCTGAAGAAGAAGACCCCTCCCATGGCGCTATGTCATCAACCGCTCTGTGTCCGATGTTCCTGGCCTCATCCAGGGATCCGTGGCAAGAGTCTCTACTGAGCTTTGATGGTTGAGTTTTTGACGGGAAAATCTGGGAGGGGAGGAGTTGTCATCAGACAGATCGAATTGTTCTGGATCACAGGAGCAGTAACAGAGAGAGAAAACAAAGAGTTAAAAACTAAACAGTGGGAAACTTGAACACTGCATGGACAGTTAGAGAACTCACTGTTTTTGAAATGTTTCATATTTGTGGCAGAAAAAATGGCAATCCATGAGCCGACTGAAACCAACTGTTTCCATGGTTATTATAATGCAGGCTGAATTTAATGACCCCTGGGTTTTGGGAAGCCGTTAAAGCCCTAATGGAGCACATTAGATCAGACATCCATGAAAAACACGACTTTATTCCTAATTAATACTTTGCTTATAATTAAATTCACCAAACAAAAGTGAAACAACAACCAACAACATTTTTACCAGCTGTGTTGCCACGACGACTGAGAGCTCTCAGGCCACCTGTCCTGTTCCGACTCCTCCCCTCAGCGCTGGTCTCGGCTTCCTGTTTCCATCTCCTGCCTCTGTAGTCATCATGTTGTCCAAAGGGCTGACTGGACGCAGCTCTATCCTGAACCAGCCAAAAAAACAACAAAAAATAAGACATACTGTATATCTATAAAAAAGTTGAAACCGCCTGATTTAATTGAAGTGTTGGAGCTAACAGGCCAGTCATGTCGGAAACATGAAAGGTATGTGTGCTGTCAGGTGTGTACCTGAGGGTGCTGTGACTCTCTTGCCACCCTCCTCCTCTCCCTGGCTGACAGAGGAGATTTTTCTAGCTCTGGTGTGCGTGGTACTGGAAAAGCATCTCCTAGGGGGTCTGAACACACCACACACAAACACAGAAGAACAAGAACATCTAACTCTCAACTACACAAAGTTAAAGAAGAAACAGAACACTGTGTTTTAGAAGCTCCAAGATGTTTTGGTTTTAATGTGTTGTGCCCACAAATTATTGTCAAATGTCTGCACCTGATGATGTTGCAAGTACCGTAAAATGTGGACTATAAGTTGCAGTGTGTTTTGGGGGGCTTCCTAGAGAGAAAAAGGTTTAAACTGCCTACCTGCAAGACAATTTGTGTTGGGTTCAGCAAAAGTCTGTTTTCACTTTGAAGAGTGTTCAACCTACTTGTTACAGTACGGTAGTTGAGCACTCAGTCTACGGTGAAAGTTGTGAAGGATCGACAGCCCCTGAGTCGTGTTGCCACTTTCACTGGTCACCCGTTAACTTTAATATAGGAGTCTTTCAATAAAAACAAGTTAATTTAATCAACAATGTACCAGTGTTTTCCTCAGATGAAGGATTATGACCTTGTGAGGGAGATGAGATGTTAAAAAGTTACGCAGCAATCCTGGTCTGCGTCAACATGTAGCCAGGCACAGCATGCACTACACCATGAGTAGGGGGCACATTTTCAATTTCATCAGGTGTCTTTCAGAGAGTGATGGTGGCGGCTGTACTTATATTGGTCACACTGTAAACAGGACGTGGCCAACTTTTTAGATTTAATGAAAATTGCGTCTTATACACCAGATTTTACAGTACTTATGCCTTCATTAAAATCCCTGCATCATGGTGGTTATGGTGTTGGTGGCTTACCAATGAAAGCACTCTCTGACTCCAGCAAAGAACCTCTTGCACTCCTCTGTGACAGAGATGTGTTAATTAGTGTGTTGTTACAATAAATACAGTTAGAGAAGCTTCATGGCTCAAGAACAGAGGAAAACAAACAAATAGTTCTTTTTAACTTACCACATAGTCATGTTGCAGTGGTGGGGACAGATCATAATAATCTAAAAAAAAAAAAAGGAGGAAGAAAAATCTAAAGCAATGGACTCCACATATAATGAGGTTTCATGTGAAACATGGATATTCAAAACCTCTCGCTTCCCCTTAGTGTACAAATAGTTAAGATGTGTGCATGTGTGCGTGTCTGCATAGTGATTGTGATGCGACTTGACACAGCAAGACAGCAGTCACAGACGCCCAGGCTAAAACTAAACTTCTTACTGGCTGTCGTTTTTTATTTCAGATCTTTGATAGGCTGATGTTTGTTCACATTTAGATTATTTAGTTGCACTACTCTAGATCAGGTTTCCTAATCTAGAAACAGATCACAAGTTAATATCAGGTGTAAGGGGGACATGTAGAAGACATTCCTCCTAAAAGGTCCATATTACAAACTTTAAACAGAATAAACAGGACTTCAAACAGTGCCGTGAGCTCTTACCGCCTTGGACCGTAGACCTCTGGCTGCTGAACTGCTGATAAGGATCCCTGTAGTCCCGCCTCCTCCTATTGGCTGTACCCACTGCCCTCCAGCTTAGGAACGTCACTAAACCCCAGCCTGGATTCATCGTCTGACTCACAGGAACACAAACAAACCGGTCACATCTGATATTTGTGCAATGGAGTCCACCAGAGATTGTAGGACTTGTGTTTTACCTGTGTATTTGAGCTGAAGGGAGTCATGGATTCTCATCAGGTTTCTGGGCTCCGCATTTCTGGAAGTCGGCCTTCGGACGGGCGCCTGGAGCCTCAGCCTGGCCATATCAAAGACGTCAACAGGGGGACGCTCCCGAAGTCTGGAAAAATATTGACCATACTCACGCTTTCAAACAAAACTCAGCACAGAAGAATCCAGACACTCATTATTTATATCTCTACACTGTCTGTGCTTATTCATGTTTGCCATTTTCTCTCAGAGATGTAGGAGAAGACAGCTCCTGTCAGTGTGGAGAAAGGGGTGATAGAGTTATTGGTTATCTTTCATTCAACCATTACTTATTATTTGAACTGTTTCCTAATGACCTGAAGTGTATTTTGCATAATATGTGACCTTTAATGATCTGGATAACTCACTGTATAATGCACTGGGTCAGCTAGCTGCAGCGCTGACAACATCATCTGTAAACTGACTTAGTGTTTGTAAATGTAAAGCAGTTAGTGTTTAAACAATTCAAACACTGCACAAAGCTAACACGAGTAAACTGATATTCTATTTGTGTATGATATGACTGATATTCAGGAAAATCTTATTCAAGTATAATGTTTTTAAATTAGTGTAGTCACTTCACAATCTTTAAATGTAACTTCAAACAATTAGAGGAGTACCCTCAGAGTACAAGTACAAGTTGAGAATCAAAAATTAGATAATGTTTATTAGGATGCTATTAGTATTTTTTGTACTTTGATGTAATAATACTGAAGATAATGAATCCATGTGTGTAAATGTGTCCACCAAATACTGCATTATATTTTATAAATTAGAAGTAACATCATTGGGCTACAATGATGCATCTGTCAGGTCTGACCTGTCACGTGGAGGAGAGTCCAATTCCTCCCAGTCGCCCTGTTGAAGACAATCCTCCAGTCGCTTCTGTTCACTGCGGAGCTGTCGACGAAGCGCCGACAGTTCACTGAACACATGGCGCTGATCTCCTGAAAACACAAATCCACTCATGATACTTAGTAACAAGTTGGTCAGGAGTTATGGAAATAGTTCTAATGCCTGTTGGAACATTAAAACAAAGCTGCATAGTTAACACAATACCTGCAGCTCGGAGCTGATTCCTACAAGCAGGGACAGGAGGGGACTGGAGACCAGACAGAGAGCGCTCCTAAAAGAGACAGAGAGAAAAAAAGGTCAAACGTGTGAAATAAAAAAAAGGCCCCAGAGGCTGAGAGATTACATCATTAACCATGAAAGAGAAAGAATACTCTCTCTTTTAGAGAAGAGACTCACAGACAGGGGGGCAGTAGAATGCAGGCTGTCCGCAGTGGGGGGCCTCGGGGTGTACTGGTGTTGCCCATGTTTTCTCTGCAGAGTAGGGATTGGAGGCGAGGGCTCCCTGCAAACCTGAGAACACATCCACCCAATTACCACATGGAGGTTTGAAAAGCTGTGATTTAACCAACTCGTAATTCATTGTTGTCGCACATTTTGTGTGCTTTGGTATAAATCCCAAGAGATCAGCACTTCACATCAGACCCCCAACAAACATTTAAGAACTGTTTGATTTTATTTGTAAACCATGATGTAGTTGTAAGATGATATAGAGACATTATGATTCAAGTTTTTACAACTCTGGATTTCCTATTCTATATCCACTGTCCTCTGAAAAAAAGGCAAGAGCCCAAAAATAAATCTTAAAATAATGAACTAATTAAAATACAGTAACCTGCCTTAAAACATTTAAACAAAATAGTCAGAATGTTTGCCTTCAGTTAGGAGAATTGTAATTTAAGTATAGCAGGTACAACATGAACACCACATCTGAGTGATGGATAAAGAATGTCAGAGCAGAAGAAATGTTTCTTCCTACTAACCTCCTCCACTCGAGCCTGTCTCTCCCTCTCGTACTGCCTCCTCATTTCTGCGTTCTCCTTCTCTTCTTCTTCGCTCTTCTTCCTCTCCGCTTCCCTTTTCTTCAGTTCAGCCAGCTGAATCAGCTCTTCATTCTTCGCCTTTTGCTGAGAGACAAAAAGCAAGACAGCAGTAGATGGAGAGAGGCACGAGAAGGGTAGAAGGGTGTAAACATTTGAAGAGTCAGTCTTAACATCTTGCAATATCATTTCCCTGCCGTCCAAAGGTTTCAAATCATTGAAAGATCAAGTGCAGTTATGAAACCCAAGAGTAACCCATGCCCATATCTTAGTGTGGTGGATGCTCACCTCCATTTCCTTCCGTTTCTTCCTCTCTTGTTCTTCGTCAAACTCCCTTTGGATGCGAGCCCTCTGCTCTGCCAGCCTCCTCTCCTCTTTCTCTTCCTCTAATCTTGTCCGTTCACTCTCCTCCGCCTTTTTACGCATTTTCTCTTCAATCTAAACACAATCCCAAAAAACACGTTTAACTTCAGGCTGTAGAGCTGGCACACATATCTAGGGAGGTACAAATAAAAACCCTTTATTTCTTACTGGTGGTATTCTACAACAACTAGCTACATTTCTTTAGAGAGAGATGGCTGGCAGTTTAAGGGTGGTTTCACATTAGGGACCTGGGAACAGATCTGAGTACGCTTGACCCTAAAGTCTGCTTCATTTGATCAGTGTGAAAACAAATGTACTGTACTCATAATGTACTTAGGACTGTTTCGAGTCCTCTTGAAGAGGTGGTCTCGGGCACGATTCATTAGTACTTGAGTATGGTCCACGGGAGATGTGAACGCAACCTAGCTCAAACAAGGAAGTGGACGTAATTCTAAATGGCTCATGTCGTTTCAGAAACAGTCATTTCCACACAGCACGGGCCCATTCCATCCTCTGAGCTAAACGGTACATGTGGAAGTAGGAAGAGGGTCGTTGTTGGCATCTCAGAAATAACAAAACATCCAGTTAGCAGGATGGACTCAGCCAGTGATTGATCGCCATGGTTGCTTCTTCTTCTTTCTGCTTTTGGCGGATTTTCAAACCAATGTGCATACTGCCACCTGCTGTATCGGACTGTGTACATATGAAAGTGTACGCGGGTACGAAGCGATGTTACTAATGTGAACGCAGACCAGCAATCATGCTCGGGCAGGGTACCAAACAATCATACCTATTGTGAAAACGCCCTGAATTTATGATCAACAAAAACACAGCTGGCAACAGATGTACCTGCTGTTTGAGGTAGGCTTTGTACTTGTCCTGCTCCTGGACCTGTTGTTGGCTCGGCTGGTTGGGAAAAATGTTGCCTCTTGCAAACTGGGGGGTTTGAACACTGGCGAAACCTAGAACAGGAGGAACAAAAATAAATCCTTGGATGAATTGGACCAAATGGCTTTTTCTTAATACTTCGTCCTTCTTCCCTCTGTTTCTTAAATCATCATGAGGAAAAATCCATAATCAAAGTTACAGCCGTAAATTAAAAACAATGATGCCTGTGTGTTTAATATTGTTTTAGTGAAAGCTGTATATAACAATATATTTAGCAGAAAAATAGTTACCGATCCTGTTACTAGTGTCATGGGTGCTGCACCCAGATACAGTACCAGAGACCCTCTCATTAGGGTTGGGGAGCTCTGGCCGGCGGGATGCTGCTGCTATGGCCGTCGCTCTCCTCTGCCACTGCTCCGGGTTGATGTAAGCCTCTTCGTTGAATTTGTGCATCTGGTTTAAGTCAGCTGGGAAAAATAAACAGGTCTTTAAAACATCCACTATGAGCTGCGTAAAGAAAGGACCAGAGATTCTGGGGCCTACCAATGAGATTTCCAGTGCTGTCTCGGAGTGGGGCTCCTCCTCCTCCCCGACCCCAGGGCTGGTGGTTCTTCATGTCCACCTCCAGTTGGGCTTCGTAACGTTCTGTCTCCACCCTCTCCTGACACCTCCGCTCCTGTTGCTCCTGGATCTGAGGTGAAGTTATATGAGCCAATATTAGAACCCTTAAATCACAATAACGATTTATTTTAAACAAAGAAAATCTCCCGAACTTGCTTTTGTATATTTATAAATACCTCTTACTGGAGGAGTACGACCTTTGGTAAGCCCTTGGGATCACTACATATTGCATCGCTTTCGAATGAACTTTCACTCTCTTAACTAGATATTATTGAGATACTAATAATATTAAACCATACTCATAATAAAAAACTCAGCAAAAATGATAACACAAAAATGCATTTCGATAATGCAGGATAATCATGACACAAAACAATAAGCAGTTTTTGAATTTTGAGGTTACATTCCAATTTAATATGTATATACAGTATATATATACCTATATGTTTATACTGTATATCACACGTTGCAGATGCAACTCATGAGGCATCAGTAGTGTTGTAGTACTCCAAATCGGTCTTGGTCTGAAAACCGGTCTTGAGACCAATTTTCGAAGGTTTTTCGGTCTTGTCTTGGAATCGAAAGCGCTTTCACACCGTCTTGTCTCGGTCTCAGAACTGAAGTAACCCAGATTTTAAATCAAGACCGGTCAAGACCAACACTGACAGGCTGTTTTTCCACTTCATCACTGTGAGAAGAAGAAAAGCGTCCCTCTCTAAATGAACAAATGACTTCAGTTCATATGTAGTTAGATTTTATCCCCCGGTTACGGCTGCAACCTTCCTGGTGTTATGTTCTAAGTGAGTGACACGCCCCCCTGCACAAATAATGATGATTGATTTTTTAATGGTATTTATGGTCTTGGTTTTGACTTGTTCTCAAACTCGATCTCTACATGTCTTGGTCTTGGAGCACTCAGTCGTGACTATACCACTAGACATCAGTTCTAAAACAAATGTAAGTATGTATCCTATAAGAGTAAAACAGAGTTTCAGGCACCACAACACATGACTTTGGGATGGATCAGGTATTTTGTTCACTAAAAGGGAGCAGTAAAGCAGATTTCTGTAGCCTTTGGTTTCACAAAGCAACTAGAGGATTGAGGTGAAGGACTTGCACAGGACTGAGGTGAAACAGGAACTTTGACACTAAACTTCATGAGGATAGAAGGTTTTTTTTTTTTCTTACACTATCTTTTTTCTCTTAACTAGAATAATTTTACCTTGTTGTAAAGCTCGCCGCTCACTCTCCCGGAAGCGTCCTGCCAAGATATCACAGGCTATGCAGTGAAAAGTTGCCTGGCACCACTTTATTTTATTTTTTCCACATGGCCCACAAATGTTTCTACAAATATGATGTGAACCAAGTGACACTGTTCATGCACAGCTGTTTTCTGTGAGTTTAGTCCTTGAACAATGAACAAAGTTAAAGTTATTAACAGAATGAACAAACCTTTTGCCTTCTTACACTGTCAATAATTATGCTGCTAATGTTTGAATTAACTATTAACACAGACTTCACTCCTAATTGTCTCAATAGTAATCAGTGCAGGGACGTGTCAAAATTTGGGGGCATTGGCCACCCTTGAAATTTGATTGGCCACCCAAGGTGCCACTCTAAAAATCCCGAACTGTATTTGGCTGTCAGAGGTAGGACTTGTATAAAAAAATGTCTATGCTGGCTTTTTTTTGTAAAAGACCAAAACTTTGCCAATCAATGTATTTTTGGGAGTGAGACAGTGAGCAGGAGTTTGCATGCAATTTGCACACACTTCTGCATAAGTCAGTGCCACAGATGAGCCACCCCAGTCAAAAAAAAGTCTGGACACGCCCCTGATCAGTAGTACCCTATGAGGTTGTTAAAATGTAAATTATGAAGTATTTTGTTTTTTAAAAACAGTTGTATATGCTTTAAGCAACTATCAATGCTGATGTAATTCCCTTCCCTGTACATTTTGCCTGCCTGCCTCTTGCCTGCTTGTACATTTCTAGGGGAATAAATAGTTATTGCTCAATCCTTGTTGGATACATCATCATAATAGAGCTTTTTGAACTAAATCGTTTTCGTTTCAGAAGTAGATTTTCATTTTATGGATTATGTTTGAAGAAAAAAGGTTGAACTGTAGAAGACAGTCCTTTTACATTTAGAAGAAAAAGAGTTTCACCTACCTGTTGTTTTAAAGCGTCCCTGTAGCTCACAGCTCTGTCCCTAATTGATCTGGGTTTATCTGAATGGAGAACCCTGACATGAGAGTCCGCAGCAGCAGCAGCAGCAGCAGCCCCGATGCTAGACCTGTCAGAAGAGTTGAAGAGTCTCATCATTAAGATCTGAATATTAAGCATTTCATCAAAGACACAAATCAATTCTTTAATTTAATAGGACATTATAAACATACTTTAAATGCACTGCACAACCAGATGCTGATGTTGTGTGAATTCTGTTAGGTTAGAAATGATGAGGTATTTAACACTACGTTACTTCAGTTTACATTTTTTACTTCTAAGTTCACAGAGAAGGTTGTTTCATTGGAAAGAGTTGACAGTGGCCAAAGGTGTAGAGAAGATATTTACTGTATTGGAGGCTCTGGAAAGCTACTTCCGCTGTGCTGGCTGTGAGGGCTGTGGCTACCAAACCGGCTGGGCACAGCTCCCCCTGGTGGTACGTTCCAGTAGGATATGGGGAGGCCAGCAGCAGTAACAGGCAGATGACCATCTAAACAGAAAAAAGCATCTCAGCATTACAATAATCCTGAATGTAGGGTTGTGTATAGTCTACTTCCGATATGTACGTTAAATCCTTTGATGTGAAAGTTGTTTTACTGTCATGTAGTTGAGGAGACCGTTGCTTACAGTAGGCCATGTTTGGGTCAAGCTGATTTCTGGTGCCACAGTAGTGATAAGGCTCTCCGTACGGGCTCCTGTAGGCTTCACTGACGGTCGAAGGAGGATGAGGAGCGAACAAGGGGAGTCTGGACATACAAAGAAGAATATTAAATAATCAACCATGTTAAATAACAGCGTCTCACTTACACAGCTCAAACTTTCCGATGCCATTATTTTTCTGTTTAAGTTTGAAGATTGAGATGTCTGTTGGAAAAATAGGATGCAAAAATAAAGAGTTTTAAGGTTCTTTACTAAAAAGGCAAATATACTATCTTTAAAGAGTTTAAAGTTTAAATCTAAAGTTATTCCATTGTAGGTGGCTGATTTTTCCACTCCTGTAAAGAGTTTAAGTTGCATGTACACAAGTAAGTGATACATACATGCAATTAAACTTTATATGTCTAATTTCCATGGATGGCTGGATGGATGGATGTCTCATTTAATGAAACCGTCACTGCTCCCACGGAGAAATGACTTAATGTAAAAAATAAGAATAAACTGAAGTTAACGGTATACCTGGGAGTGTCCATGGCTCTGGGAAAGGAGGGGGCTGCAGGTTGACTGTTGGGGGACAGACCTCCAGCCCCCAGGCCCAGAGCAGAGCTGTAATCCAGCAGAGGGGACTGAAAGGCCACATGGGGCTGCTCAGGGGGAGACGTCTCTCTGTCTCTTGCATATGTCCTTTCACGATAAGACAGACCTCCGGATGATGTTTTGTTCTCTCCTGTTGCTAATGGCTCCAAAACCTGATGATCCTTCCTCCTGCTCACCCCAAACTGTCTGATTCGGTCCGGCTGGTTTGTGAGCAGAGGAAATGTTTAAAGGTTAACAAACAGTACGGACATTTTGTGGCATGTAATACAACCTTTTCAACGAAAATGTTTTTCACATGCTGACCTGTTTCTCAGGATCATTTGCACCAGTTGCAGCAACTTTCAGCTCCAGATCTTTCTCCCTGCAACAAGGACACATATATGGTTGTTTTCAGAGTTTAACACATTGTGCATTAAATAGCATAAATCCAGAGAGATGCTTAACAAGTGAGCAAGTAGAGGTTCAAGGTTTTGCTCAATGACACTTTGAGGAAAAATAAAGCACTTGAAAAGATAGGTGATGCAAGGATGGTAGCTGTCAATATCTTTAAAAGGGTGAGCTAAATGCTTGCAGTACTCGTCTTTTATAATACATGCCATCTGACTGCATAAAGAGATCACTGACAGAGTACCTCTTCTTGTTCCTGTGTTGTTCAGCTATCTGCTCCTGCAGTTGCTGTCTGTAGCACTCCTTCTTTCTCTGTAAGGCATCTTTTGTGTCAGCTAATCCTAAAAGAAGGGAAATAACCAAAAACAGGTCATTGGCTATGTGTAGTAGTTGAGTTTGAGTCCTTGGAATGAGTCAAGGGGTTTAGCGTTCCATCATACCAGAAAATGAATAGATTTATTTAACACATGGTCGAACTTATTCTGCTTACTTAATTAATTTTCATCAAACACTGAAGCTTTGATTTAAACACAATTACTCAGTTCATACAGTTGTACCTATTATAAGGCCAGTGGCAAACTCAGCGTCCTCTTTCTTGTTCAGTGCTCTCGATCTCCAGCCTTCTCTTGCAACACCTGCTGGAAACTCCCCCTCCTCCCTGGGAATAGCCAAAGAAAGACAAAATTTATAGACAACAGGGAACGGGGACGAAAAAATAAGTCACCCTCCTATAAAAAGCTTTGAACACAAACACATTAAAAAAGAAAATTTCCTCCAGGGTACCTGACATCAGTCTTTTTTGATCTCCTCTCATAAATGTCCTCAAACCCCGTATGTCTGCCTCCGATCAGCTCCAACTCCTCCTTGAAGTATTCCTCCTCCTCTGAATCCCTATCCACTGGCTTTCTGAGCCTTTCAAGACGCCTTGGGGGAATTGAAGAATGCTCTTCATCCTCCTCAGTGTAGAGGTGCTGGACCTCTGCAGGACGCAAAGCCCTTTGCAACCGCCAACTGTCCTCTGTAAGAAGAGCGGCGGCATCCCTGTGTATGCGAGCTCCCTGACTGGGAAGAACAGCAGCCTGGTCTCCAAGCAAGGTTTTCTAAAAGAAACGTGAAGAGGCAACTTTTGTTAAAAAAAGATAAATAAAATAGTCTACTCTTTACTATGTCTTCTACATTCACCACGTTACAAAAGCAGAGATATCGTTTACACCATACACATGTGCCTTGTTAGTTGTCAATTTATTATGACTCCCTCTCCTCCTACACACACTCACACAAACACACACCTCTGCTCTCCTAATGCACAAAGCAGCTTGACACCCTCTGTCTGTCTGTCTTCTCTGTATGTGTTAGTCCTGCTGGCTTACCTTATCAGCCGTATGTTTTATAAAACCTCCCCAAACGCGTTGTGAATGTGTGAAGGGTAGGACTGTTGTTAATTACAGCTTATTAAAGCCATCATTGTGTGAATGACACTGACACCAAAAGACGATTAACTCTAATAAAAGAGTTCCGTATAATGACGAGACATCGCACCTCAATAATACAATTGAAGGTAAAGCGTCTCTCCCGTCCTCTGGGAGGAAGATGTAGAGACATGCTTGCGAGGGGATTCTGTTTATCGATCGCGGATGTCAATCTTAAACAGACGAAAGAAGAAAAAAGCTCAAATTAGGCAGCAAATATACTGAAGTGTCCATAAAAATACCTGTGAGGTCCCACCAGGTATAGTCTATGTGAAGGAAACTTGAATATCAATCAATCAATCTCTTGTCCACACTTGCTGCTGAGGTGGAAGTCGGAGCAGGCCGTGCATGAATAGTCTGTAGCAACGGTTCATTATGCATCGTTTGTTTAGTTTTAAACATGTAATTCAACTTATTGTTTATATTGTTAGTGTCAGTATTCGATGGGTGTTGTTTATGCATATACACGTCATGTTATCAACTTTCCCTTTCTCAGTAAGCTAAATTCATCAGTTTCAACAGTCATTATGCAAAGATATTTACCTTGACAGACCTCCTGGTGTTGGAGTGCATTAATGGTCCAGACTGCCCCAGGTCCAAGTTCTTCTTCTGCAACATACATTTTATTATCATGACATCATCACTGCACACTTCTTCTTTGGGAGAACACAGATAGATCAAAAAGGGCTTTTTTTAGATATTCGACTAGATCATACTAAGGCTCCCCGTCCACTTAGCATCTTTTTTCAATTTTTTTCAATGAGTAGAGAAGGTTTGCAGCAGCAGGCGGCCCGCCCGGAGAAAAAGCGCCGTTGATATTTAAAAATCACTGAACATGTCAGATGTTTATTCTTTGCAGCTACAGCGTAAGGCAAGCTTTATTCTCCCTGACTGTTCTCAGTCTTTAACGGGGAGTTTCAGTTTGTTGCTGCTAAGAGGAGAACAAAACGCTACAGGAAGACTTTTAAACCTGCAGCCATAGCACTACTTAACAAAGCTAGCACAAGACAATGCACTTTAACCATGTGAGGATATTTTAAACCTTTGACACCTCCCACCCCCACCAAGGACTGTTTTCGCTGCTGGACTCTGGAAAGAGGTTCCGCAGCCTCCTAAGCAGAACTTCTAGGTTCTGTAACAGCTTCTTCCCACAGGCCATAAGACTTTTGAACAGGAAAATAATCCCTCCATTCCCCCTCAAACCCCGCACAGGACTACCTCACTGGACTGTAAAATACAATATAACGTGCAATATATTTATCTGTATAGTATTTTTACTCAAAGTTTTTCCTTTTATATCTATTTATATCTGCACCTTATTTTTATTTTTCTATGTAAATACATGCTGCTGTTTTTATCCTGCACTACAACGGGCCAAATGCAACGAAATTTCGTTCTTGTCTGCACTGTAAAGTACAAGTTTGAATGACAATAAAGAAAGTCTAAGTCTAAGTCTAAGTGTGTACATAAGGACTTTCCCATGACCTGATGCAATCGACAATGTTTGTTTTAATGTGCTCTGTCTGGTCTTTATATCCTTGAATTCATATGATATGTATGTTTCGAACGCTAAATCTCCTGTCTGCACAAACAAAGTGACCTTTTTAGGTACTAATAATGAAAACCTATACCTTGAACTTTGATGTCAACTCAATACAACAATTTGTAGTCTACAAAATGATGCCTTGAAGGGTCCTATGACTCGGTTACAGATAGCAAAACAACAAACAACAGCTCTTCAGCAGTCGTAACTAAAGTAAAGGAAAAATGGCCAAATGTAAAACTTTGAAAAATGACCATCAGGTTCATCTACAGCCAAACACAAGCAACCAGGTATGTCTGTGGAAGTCACCTGAGCCATGTAGCGTCTGTAGTCCAAACGGAGCTCATGCTGCAGCCTCTGTTTCTTCCTCTCGTACTCCACACCAAGTGGTAGCCCGACACTGTAATTCTCCTCTGACAAGACACATCCATCCATTTTTAAAATGCACACATGGTGAAGAGTTTCACGCAAAAACAACTTCTACTTTAAGCAGAGAAAAAACTATCATGATGCACATTGCTCACATGACATGGGTTGCTTGTAGATTCTATTTATTGGCTGTTTTATCCAAAAAAATAAAATAGCATAACAAGTATTAAAGGATGTTTATGTTGAAATGTATTTTACCTTTCCCTTGTGCTATTGAGTAGGGAGGTATGTTCTCCTTAACAGTAGAGCCATACACTTTCTGGGGTTTTGCCTGTTAGTCAAAATAAATACACGATAGGATCACTGCAAAAGGGTGCGTTATTTGCAAACACATGGGTCAGGTTTGCATGACAATTTGACAAAATGATCATCTGTATAAACACTAAGAGCTCAACCCTGAGGCCACAGCGGGATCTGAGATAACAAGTCGAGAACTAATAACTTAATAATCATCAATGCAACAAACCTTCATTTCCATGTAAGGAGGATCTTGTTCTAAACTGGCTTTATCCTCAGCCACTCTCGCCTTTCGCTCCCTGATGAAGTTTCCAAATTCATCATCCATCTCTTTTAGGCAAAGTCACACAGTCCAGCTGGGAACAGAAAATGCCATGCCTACAGCGCAGACGAGAGGCAGCAAGCGTGATGACTGGCAGTGGCAGCTTGGGGGGAATCTAAGGCAGCTGCGTGGCTCTTGTTCTGCAGTTGAGAAACAACTCGCTCCACCTGTTGTCAACTGGGACAGGGCAAGATGATCCTGGAAAAACAGACAGGATATATGAAGGCATGGTGTTTTGTCAGGCCAGGTGAAGCGCTGTATATCAGTTCTAGGATGGTTTAGGGCTGCTTAAATGTGTTTGGTGATTAGCTCCTGTAGCCAAAACATTACAACAAACCCTTTGAAATTTACCTCACATAAATGGTGACTGAGGAAGCATGTTTCAATGTGTAAAAACAAGAGTTATCTATTGAAATAATACTTGTAAATGTATCTAATATTAATATAGATCTAGCGCGTTTATTTATCACTACTTTAAAACATCCCAGCAGCCACATGAAATTAAAAGGCGCTCCTCAATGCAGAAGATAAAAACTTAACAGCATGATAAAATAATGTTTTTTTAATTTTGTGCAATAGATGGACAGAAACGTCTGTATGTCAGGCAGTGAAGCAGGTAAATACAAATGATGGAGGGCAAAGCTGATCCTTGTGAATAAACTCAATAACAACATCAAATCGCATCTATAGAGATTGACAGCGTGTAGTTAAAACACACAGATAAACAGCTTACCGTAATTACTGATGTTGCGGTCTCTTTAATTGTGCCGTTGTCAGGCAACCACATCGAACACGGTGGCGTCACATTCCAGATGGCGTTTACCGCTTAACAATACAACAAGTTACAGTCAGCTATCGTTACCATTACACAAATGGTTTGATATTATATTGAATATCAAAATGTTAACATTGTTTACAGTAATATAGCTTACGCTTGCTAGCTTGTTAGCTTTAACTATGGGAACGGCAAACTATAAAAGCTAAACGAAGCTAATAACAAGCGTCTCAACCAGTCACCGTCAGCTCTCCATTATAATTGTCGTTTCGATCAATAAAACCTTCTACTGAGTTTGTCGTTTCTGGAAATGGCAGTGTTTCTTAGGTTCAAAATGTTGGCGGCTCCGGTCCTTGGTCATCTTCCTTTAGCCCAACACCAGCAAGTTTATCCCAATACTACTTCCGCTGTCGACTTTCAAAATAAAATCTGGTGTTTGAAGTCCTGCAAACACCGTTATGCTCTCGGTAGTAGGCAACACTGCATATACATATATTTTATCTGTAATTTGAATAAAACGTCTACGTATTTTTTATAGAGTAAATTGTAAATACTGATAAATAAAATAAACTACTATTGCTACTACTACTAGAATACAGACACGACCATTTGTGTGGTCACTAATGGCCCATTTTATAATCGCATTTTGAGGCCAGGGTGCTTCACGTCAAGCTACTTTGAAGCTACTCTCCCTCCTGAGGCTTCACACATCTTGGCTCAGCTGAGTATAGTAGCATTGCTTGTTTTGGGTTAGGGGGGTAAGGAAGCAATGTTTACACCCCCTCCCCTTGAGACTCAACCCAACCTTTGGGAAACACATGTGCATTCATGGCCAATGGCGAGGGGAAAACATACAGCCTAAACCTTCCACCCTTCTACACACAGAGTACTCTGTGTTTTGTAAGGGGGATAAAAACAAATGCAGTCCTTGCATTTTACTCATCGCATTTCAATATTTAGTTTAAGTATTAATATGTAAAGAATAATGCTGGAAATGGGCTTCCTTAAAACAGTGCAATTGCTTATATAAACAGTGATTTCTTAACATACTATAACTTCACATTAACAGCAATAAATGTTCTCCTAATAATCCTTGTTATTACAGGGTAATTTCATAAATTCAAGACTTCATATCACTTTTTCCTTGCAATTTATTGCTTATATAAACGCTCTCTAAACAATTTTTGGTAAAAATAAAATCTATCAATAATAATCATAAATAAAATCATCACAATGACTTTTACATGACATTATATTGCACAATTATAAGCCTCAACAAGAATCACAGAACACATGTGTTGTTGCTCAGGTTGTGTGTAGGAGGAATGTTCAGAGGTCCGTGGGCAATCACACACACACTTGTTGCCTTCAAAGACAAAAGAAAATGTGAACTGTGTCTGTGCTGAACTGAACTGAATCAGGGTCTTGAAATCATCAGGTCCAAAAACTGATGACCACCAATCAATTGGTTTTCTTTTTCACATTCCTACCCTTCTTAGCAATCTATACACCGCCATGATTAACACAGGAACATAGGTGTTGTTTCAATTGTGTTGTGGTACAGATCTGGTGTTGAAATAAGAAAAAAAAAAAAAAAAGGACATAGGTCCCATAATGTCAAAATCCTATGTGGACATTCAGATACAAATGTTATCAGTATATTTTGACCGCTGATTAAAAAGGAAGACTCCCTGTGGTGTCTCCCTGCTCAGTCAGACAGGAACTGATCTGTACCACAACAAAGTCTAACGGCGGCCGCTTTCAGTCTGGTGTCACAGCTTTTCATCATATCACAGCAAACTTTTACCATCTGCTGTCTGTCTGAGGTTAAACCAAAAGGCTGTCTCACTGTCTAGCTTGGCAGTTTGATTGATCAGCTACAGAAAGGCCAAAAGGATCCAAAGACTCCGTGTGTGTGTGTGTGTGTGTGTGTGTGTGTGTTGATGTGAGTTCAGATGTTGTCCACCTCCGCGCTGAGTTCAGGACACACTTCCTTGAGTAACATCTCCATCAACACCTAGTGGGACACGGGAGAGGAAAATAATTCAGTTCATCAGTCGTACATATTTAAACATGAATTCAGTTCAATTGAATTTCAAATCAAAGTTGTTGTTATACATAATCGGTGTCATTCTTACGTAGAGAAGATGTTTGTTGGCACTAGCCTCCTGTAGGGCATTAAAGATCTTGATGATTCCATAGCGGGCATTCTGCTGGCCAACTAAATTTGTTAGTGCATCTGTTGGAAAAGATCACAATGAAGCAACGTAAACAATCTACACCTCGGATATCAATTAAGACAAGTACAGGGAATGTCCTTCAATTGCTAACCTGGGATATTTTCAAGTAGTTTCTGTTGAGCCCGCTCCTTAGTTTCACTGCGTTCAGAGTCAGTACGGACTTTGACATGTGGTGCCAACTTCCCATTTGGCCAGAAGGTGTCCCTGAACACACCGATATAACACACCAACATCTGCTCACAGAAGATCCAGTTAACCGTGTCCCGGATCTGTCTGAAATAAGGCATAGCAGATATTAGGCTCATAGGTGATCTGAGAGAGAGAAACAGTTAAGAACAAGTGATGGTGTGAGGGTTGTACCCTATCTCACTATAGACCAGCTCAATAAAACACACACACATGCTCAATGGAGATCTGCTATATCACTCTCTCTAGTCCTACACATTTAGCCTATTTGTTATGATTTATTATAAATATTACACATATGAAAATATACGTTTTCGGACCGCAGGAACTTTTTCATAGTTCTAGGAACTGTTGGAACCCTCCCTCTTTTTTATTGGTTATGCACCGCAGGAACTCAGGGACCTCCCTAGCACCTAATGTGCCAAAATTAACCAGAAGGCTACTTCTCAGCATACCACAGACATAATAACAATTCTTTAGTATGAAGCAATAACAAGGATGAGAACATAAGTAAGCAGAACACAAAGTTGGGCAGAACTGAAGAAAACCATGTGAAATAATCCTTGAATAGGCCTCATAAATGTAGTATTTTCCAATGAAGACATGCACATTCATAATTCTGAACTTCATTGGGAGCTTAATGCGCTGGGGTAAATTTTAGTATACATGGCTCCACCTATAGAGAGGCATATGTAAAAAGCCATGTACAAAAAGCAAAGTGTGATGATTTCTTTTAGAGGATAAAGGCCACATCAGAGTATTGTCTGCATGAAAAACATGCAGATCAAGGTCATTATAAAGTTACTGTTTAGTCTCACAGGGAAGACAAACCGTTGCTAAACGAGTGACTTCAGGGAAGCAGGAGGATTTTCCAGTTCCACTGAACATATTTCAGTCTTTTTTCTCTGTAGTCACTGTCTCAGGCAGTGAGCCAAGTGTCTCCAATAGTGCAGTTATATTCTGCTGGTTCTGTAAGCTATGCTTTGTCATCTTATTCCTTTTTTCCTTCAATAAGAAAGGGTGTAATTATGACTTAAATTAACAAAACTGAAAGCTTATTCCAATAGATGTTCAGTTCCCTACTCTTTCACTCTTTTCTGTATGTCTTTATTTTAATGAAACAGACCCTGAAGGCACATTTCCTTTAATGTCAACTTGCTTGAACTTACTTGTTGATAGTTCGTCCAAATGTCACCTGGACTAGTGCAATAAGAGTCTTCCTCACCCACTTAAACACTGAGAAGGAAGACAGACAGACATGGATAGAGGGAGACCGATCAGAGAAAATGCACTCACAAAGGTGTGAAGATGTAACATTAATGTGAGTCTTTGAGGGAGGTTTCTTAAATCTTCATGGAGGCCTCTGTCTTTGTCATGATTAAAAAAAAAAAAAAAAAAAGGATAAAACAGTAATAAACAACAACCACTCACTTCCTCTGAGTTCAAAGATCTCTCCTATGAGCATGAAGCAGGGTTCAGCCAGGGCATCCTTCCTTCCATCTCCTTCGTCCCCGTAGTCTGACAAGTCACTGTCTTCATCAGCCTCTTCCTGTTAAAGGCACAGCAAGTATACAACTCACCCACCGTCCAAACAAGAATGCTAAACAGCTTTGGTGCCATTTTAATGATGCTTAAAACAAGAAAGAAGGAATGTGTACCTCAGTGTGGGAGAAGAAATCTCCAGGGAGCCTCTCCAGGAAGGAGGCCAAAGAGAAGGAGGATTTCTTCTGAATTGACATCACCTTCAAAAAAGACAACCAACAACATCACTATAAAATACACTGTATGCACTGGAAGACAGATCAACATTTTGAGGTGTCATCACGCCTCATTAAAAGGTTAAATAGATGAATACAAGCTTGGAGGAACTTTATAACTTCTCCAAGTTATTGCTTTACATGCAGTTATTTTGTATCATTCACTTTAATGACATAATAATAAAGCTAACACTAGCACGTGCATCTCACACCAAAACAAACGGGCTGAGCCATCAGAATCCAGAAATACAAGTTTTAGCTACGAATAATTCAGAAGCCACTTCCTTCAACTTGACAGACACAAAAATAAAAACAGTCAATAGATGCTCTGTAAGTACATTTTAACAGCACATTTTCAGTTGTGTTCTGCAGGGCTTCAAAGAGTGTTATGTGGGAAGGACCGGGTGTAGCAGAGATACAGAGCTGCTGATAACAGACAGCTGCTGAGCACAACGGAAGTTCAGGAGGAAAGAAGTGGTGACATAACGAGGGCTTCTGGGAGAATTCTGCTCCGATTTACAGCCCATTAATTGGTTGGAGGAGAGCAGAGTTCAAACTTGAATAACTGACATAATGAAACCTGAAAATTGAACATTAATCCACATATTATCATACATTTCTTGATCTGCTGAGTGTAATCCATGGTAGCGTGCTAGCTTTCTTTATGCTAGCTTCCTAATCATACAGTAAAGTTCACTATGGATGGGAAAGTTTGATGGTTTCAACTGATATTGAATGCCTCCAGCTGAACACTTCATGCCACACTCTGTCAACTTGCTTTCACAATGCTGAGTCTTTGTAAACACAGAGAGAGACTTACATGAACTTATATACAAACACTGTTGCTAGGATACCAAAACAAATAAACCTTTTAAAGCCTTTACTACTTATACTGAACTGAACAAACAGAGAGTGTTATTGAAGTAAATTGTAATGATTACAGGGCAAACATAGGACAGTAAACAATATGAATTGACTTTTTTTTATTGGTAAAAATATATATTTTTTAATAGAATATATTTTTCTACTTATGTTACATTAAAATATTTGCATCCCTGTCTTATGTTACTTGCAGGTTTAAGGACAAAGTTACCTTGAGATGCTCTGGCGATGGGCTGAGGAACGCATAGAGAGCCTCTGACTGGCACAATCGCTCATCTGTCAGCAGACGCTGCAGACACACACACACACACACACACAATCATGGACATGGTTTAGCT